TTTCAGTTTTCTTTTCTTTCTCCTAAAAAGTTTAAGACAAAGAAATAAAAAGTTAGTAAAACAATGTATACCTCTATCCTTGATGTTTTCGGATAGATTGATGTATGTAATTGAGTATATTGCAAGTGTTTTATGGCTTGGTCTAAGGTTTTGTACTTTTTTCTTGTGTGTTTAGACTGGTTTACTTTTTTCAAGAAAATTACCAAAAAAGAAAATTTTTTGAAAAAAGGAGGATTAGCGAAAAGAGTTTTTTTTTAAGGGGTTTTTCATTTATTGGGGGCACTGTATATATATATATTACTATAATATATTTTTATCGAGAAATTAAAATAAAATTTACAATAAATTATAAACTTTTTACAAAGTAACCAACTTGTTTTTATACATAAGTACTCCAAGTCAAATCTTGAAACAATATTATATTTCTCTAGTAAATTCATTATAATTTTTATTTATCTAGATTGCTATTAATAATTTATTATTATTAATTGATCCCAAAACCAATAAATTGTTAAATTAAAAAAAAAAAGGAAAAAAAAATTGGAAAAAATGATCAATTCAAGATTTATTAAAAAAGTTCAAAAATAAAGACAATCTTTTTTCAAAAAAGATTTACTTGATTGAAATAATTTTTTTGCTTTACTTGAATTTTGAAAGAAATTTTTTTTTTATTATTTATGATATTAAATAAATTATTTTAACTGATTCTTTATTTAAGTGAGCACTGAATTGAAATATCTCAATACTAGAGAAACTTTGTAAGATACAGAAGTCTATAATTAATATTATTTATCATATAATCTTTTAATATTATAGATACCTTATTAAGGAACTTGGATTTTTAAAAACAAATATTTTTGAAATATTCTTTTCAATTATATATAATATCATCAAAACATGTAAATATGATCAATAGAAGTTTATTTATAGTATATTTCAAAAACTAATATATTTTATATTAGTCAATCATTTTTACTGAGGATTTGTATTACTCAAAATTCAAAGTTAAATTGAGATAGATAAAATTTCTCTAAAAAATCATAAAAATGAAAGTTTTAAGAAAACTAAGATAGTTTAAAAGGAAGCAAATAAGTCTTTTAACTATAATAAATCTTTATAAATCTCTCACTTTAAAGATTATAAAAGTTTTTAAGTATTTTGTAATTAGTTCTTCTTTTTTTGAAAACTTTTTACTATTGATATTAAAGATATTACTTGATTTTTTTTAGTTATTATAAGTTAGATTTTTGAGTAAAAAGATTTGTAAATAAAAGAGAAGGAGTAACAGTGACTCTTGAAGTTACTGTATATTTCAAGTTGTTTTTAAGGAAAGTATTAAAACTTTATTAATAAGAAAGTATAATATTTTTTGCAAGTATTTTTTTTTTATATACTATATAATCAAAGAATCAGTAAAAAGAGTTTTTTTTATATAAATAAATTATTATATAATTAAAAAATATAATATATTTGTATAATATAATCTTGAATACAAGTTATTATTATATTTTTTAAAATTTTTTTATTATTAAATAAATAAAATTTAATTATTTTTTTAGTTATTATATTGTATATTTTAAACTTGAATTAATTTATTATTTTAAATTAAATTACTGTTTACAAGATTTTTTTTAATATTAAAAAAATATTAATTTATATTAATTTTGATTAAAAGCTTTATAAAGTTAAGATTAAATTTCTAAAAGTTTAGTATAAATCAATTTTTTTATAATTTTCTTTTTTCTATAAAAAAAAAAGTAATATAAAATAGAATTAAGTTAATTTTTATTATAATTATTTTAAATGTAATATCAATAAGTTATGCATATATTGTTGAACTTGATAGTAAGCTATTATCTTTAGATTTATAAAGATTTTTTCTAATATCAAATTTGAAAAAATGATTTGAAAAGTTTTTTGAATAGATTTATAATAAAACATTTTATTCTTTATATTATAGGCCTACAGATTTTAAAATTAAATTTATATAATATAAAAAAATATATTCAACATTGTATATACTTTAATTATTACAATATTAATTTAATTTTTCAATTATTATTGATTTTATTAAATAATATATAACTTCTTAAAATAGATTATATAATACATGGTATTCAGCAGGTTTTTTACAATTAATCCTTAGAACCTCTAAAAAGAGTGGAATATTAGAAGTCGTGACCGACTATACAAATATAAATCATATTTATATACAGTATCTAAAATTAAAAAATTTCTATTTTAAAATAAATTGCATAATAAACACAAATAGAATAAAGTTAAGTTTTCCGGATTAACTTTTTATACACTTAAAAACTTAATCCGAACATGTCAAAGTACCAATTAAACCAGGAACGGTCATAATAAAATCTCCGAATTTGTCAAAGTTTTTTTTTTTTTCTGAAAAAGCCCCGATCAAGAAATTTCGTCTCTCACGTCATATTACAGAATGTACATGATAATAATGATGTAATCAAAACCGTTGAAGCTAAGGTCATGAAATTTGAACGTTTAATATAAATAAGCGTGCATACATTAGAGATTTTGCACCAAAACAAAATTCAGTGCCAGAATCTTTGACATCTCCCAAATATTAACTACCAAAACTTAAATTAATTACTAAACCAAAGGCATTACTAAGGTAAGCTATAGGAACATGAATGAAGAAATATTAACTACTATGAATAATCCACGAAAATAAATATGTAAAATGTGAGAATGATAACATTATGGAATGAAAAGAATGCATAAACGGAGAATATGAACATATACAGGAAGTCAACTCCATGTATTATCAACAAGTGATCGCAGACTTTTGCGTTGTTTTTTTTTTTTTTTTGTCTTATATGGGTATAGATACAAATTAATTTCCAAAAGAAAGAAAATTTTCTTACTGCACTGCCAAGGTATTTAAGATTGCAGAAAGAAACCAAAGAAACCAAGCATATAGCGCGTTATTTTATACGCATAAATGCATAATGAATTGAAAAGTAGTTTTAATAAAGCATAGTGCTATTGTTATGGTAACCATGAAGTATATGACGGTTGTTGCAGGAATAATTTCCCAACTTTTTTAAATTAAATAAAAAAATTTTTTTTCTAACTTGAGAATTCTATGATTGTAACTTATAGTAAGCCAACTTCTCTCAAGTTCGATTGGATAATAATGTCATTCACAGCCGCCATGACAAATTTGATCTGTTGAGTGTCAGTGGCACATGTGAAATGTGTGTAGATTTGTTTGCTCTCGGATTGGTTCAGCGAGACGAAACGGTTAAGTATGTAATCGCAGGCAGCGTCATAGTTATCACCACCTTCGTAGTCTGGGAAATAATTGCTCATCGGGGAGATTGGCAATTTCTCCATGAAACGATCTATCTTATTCAAGAATAAGATAATAGAGGTCTTGACGAACCATCGTGAATTGCAGATAGAATCGAATAGCGTCAGGGCTTCTTGCATACGATTCTGAAAAAGATCAATGAAATTTAGTAAGAATGACTTTGTAAGTAAAAGAACAATGAAACCACTCCAAAAAGTCCCACGGTTCATTCTTTGCCATGTACTCAACCACAGCGATTTATTTCAAATACATACCACCGTCTCGTCTTCCAGCAACAATTGGTCATATTCTGAGATGGCCACCAAGAACACGATGGCTGTTACATTCTCAAAGCAGTGAATCCATTTCTTTCGCTCTGAACGTTGACCACCAACATCAAACATTCGGTAAGTCAGTTCACCAATGAAGAATGTCGTCTCAGTAATACCGGTGGTCTTCACACGTGATCGCAACACATCCTGGTCAGTCGGGAAATAGTCTGCCTGGGAAATACGATCGATGGAATCGAAGTAACTAAGAATAATGTTGAATTAGTTTCAAATTTCGGTGTGTACAAAAAGATAACAAAGTTGAATCACACAATTTTCTGACTTACTATTTTGCAGAATCGTTTAATTGATATTCCCGAGACCGAGTGAAACAGGTCTGTACCCCGGAGTCTGCCCAGAGCGTTTTAATGGCTGATGACACCTCTGGAGGTAAGTGCTCACCTTCTATTTGATTTGGAAGGTTCAGAATTATTGAAGCGCGCTTTTGATTATCCTCGCTTCCGAAGGAAATATCCATTGCATCCATGGCTTCCAAGATGACCCGCATAGATTGCACTGTGTTGGAGAATATAATTTCTTTAAAGGACTCTCTTTCCTCTGGTGAATATCCACCATCGTGAATGAGCTTCATCTGTTTCAGGATTGTGGACTTTCCAGATTCACCAGCACCTAAATATCATAGAAATATGGTTAGCATTATTCGAGGCACCGTCGACTCCTCCCCCCCTCTCCTCCTCCTCTCACTCTCATACCTAGTAGAAGCATTTTTATTTCATTGCGCATTGATAATTTATCTTTCTTTATCTGGTTCTCGATTTCCTCATTCTTTCTTCTTCCTTCTTGCTCCTCTTGACTCATACAGCAACCCATTTTTATATTATTTTTATTTGAGCGAAAAAAAAAAAAGAAAGAAAGAAAGAAAGAAGGTAGGTGTGTAGATGAAAACGATAACAAGAGACCTCTTAAAATCTAATTTAAGGTAAGCGGTGAAGAGAAATAGAATAGCAAAGGTGTAAAGTTGATAATAATAAAGGTTGAATAGAGAATGAAGACCCTTGTAATTTTTTTTTCTTCGACTTTAAAAGAAAGTAGAAGAAAAAACCTCGATGTAAAGAGGTATCGGTAATTTTAAGTCTTTGGGTTACGGTTGTTTTTCGAGAGACGGAGGTGTGTAAAAGTCAATGCATGGAGTGTTTGAAGGGTTTTTAAAACCTTCATAGAAAAGATTGTACCAACTAAGGAAATCTGTAATCAATTGGATGCAGCTAAATGTTTAACATTAAAGTATTCTTTTTATTGTGTAGATTATACAACGGGGAAACTCCGGCGACTCGATTGGATGGAATTGACATTACACGACGATGTTTATACCGGATACTTAATTGTGCCTACGATAAAGGTTCCATGGAATTCAATTATTAAATTATTTAATTTTTTTTTTTTTTTTTTTTTTTTTTTTTTTTTTTTATAAACGGCTTTAATATAAAAATGAACTGTACATACGTAAGGTTGTACTAATGAAAAGGATGCAACATAAATTCCTAATAAGGATCATCCCATCTTTCAGATGAGTTGCACTACTTGGCCGCAATAAAAATAAACACAAACGGACGTAATTATAATGTACTTCGACAAAGACCAAAAAAATCAAGGTGGGGCTGGCGACATGCCTCGAACCTACAAAGGTGAATTCATGGTCTAAATCATTAACAATTACGTCTCTTTTTATTCAAAGAGCATGAAACGCATGTTTTCCTTTGTCATGAAAACAATAGCCGGAACCCTAGTGCCATCGTATTATTACAAAAATGAAGATTAGTTGAAACTCTAAAACCCTCCACCGGTGATTGTTTTCGCTCAAAATGAAAAGGACGGTACGATATGATACATATTCCCTTCTTTTTTTAGAAACAAGGTTCCATTCCCTTTGTTTTGAGCAATGGAAATCACACATCTGATCATAAATACATGCGTGTCTTCAATCATCATCATCACAAGGGTACAGTATATAACACAAAAAAATTCATATATTAATTATTTTACGTAATAATTATTTCACATGACAAGAATTTAAACCAAACGTTTCTTATCACGTGCCCACAGACTTTTGGGCGGGGCTTGTCTTATGATGGCCCCAGCATTCGAACTCTCCAAGAAATATGATAACGTCAATTTCGCAAAAGTTGATACAGACAAACATGAGGTAAATAGAGGATTTCGAGTCTTTTCACTTTAACCTTTGTTAACGACTCCTGTGCTTCTTTGCAAAAAAAAAAGGATTTATCACGAGAATACGACATTACCCCCTTGCCAACCTTCTTGATCTGCGAGAAGGGTCGACGATTAAATGATTTGGACGTTATTGGAGCCGACAGAAGTAAATTAGATTTGCATATCACTAAAGCGCTCGGGAGATAAATTTAAGAGAAATAAAACTTGCAACTTTCTTTGATATAAAAAATTTTTATTTCATCAGCGTGTACATGACTATTCCAGGGGTAAGTAAAATATAAAATGACAGTTGTTTTAATTAAGAGAATAAAACTATTGCTCAATCGGAATTTTTTCTAATAAAACGATATATTTTAAATGCGAACATCAGGAACTGAGAGCCGTTTAAGGTTCGGTGCAGAAGTTAAGTTGTACTTACGAAAAGTACGAACACGAAACTGTGTCATACTGAACGTTACAGAAACAATGAAATTTACAGTACAATACACACCAGTTAAAATTTTTTATATAGAATAAAAAAGGTAATTATAATTAAGGATTTCATAGAATCAATTATAAAAATCTGTTAATTATTTTGATTTTTATTATAAAATTTCGATATCGTATATTTTTGAATTTATATAAATAAATACAGTATATTAATTTGTACCATTATTTATTTTTATGATTATAAAATGTTTTTATTTGGTTTGTTTTAAATAAATAAAAATTAATAATAAACTGTATCGTCTAATGGTCTAAACGGTGATCTATAGCCGGATACATATTGGTATGTAATATATTTTATATGAATAATATTAGGTTAATATGGTTAAAACAAATATATTATCTTTATATAGTATATTTTCTATGCTATCGATAATTATTTTTACTTTTTTATTCATGCTCATTAGCAAAATTATTCTTATTTCAAACTTTGTTTAATTTTTAATTAATAATTCAATTTGGTTTAATTTTTAAATGAATTATTATTATTATTATTATCTATTTTAAAGAATATCATTATATACAATATTATAAGTCAAAATATAATTTAATAAATATTTTAAACATTAAATTTATTTATTATAATTATTATACTGTATATAATATATAAAATCTTTAATTATTTAAACTCTTTTTATTAATTTCTTAACAATACACAAAAAAATATTTGCAAACAATTTTATACTTTTTCATTAACAAAATTTTATTACCTTTTTTAAAAAACTTGAAAAATATTTTCAACAATTATTTCTAATTTTTTTTTAATTATTATTTTTTTTTTTATAGAAAAACTTAACTTTAAACAAACAAAAAAAGTTAAACAACTCTATAACAAAAAAGTTTTTAATATATATATATATATATATATATATAGTACACTAGTCGAAAAAAATTTATTCAACATACTGTCACTTGTATAACATTTGGCAAAAAATAAACAATTCAGTGAAAAAATGATATAAATAAATCAGAAACCATAAAAATTAGCATATTAACAATTTGTCAAATAATTTATCAACAATTTGACAATAATTCATTAATAATTTGACAATAATTTATTAAAAGTTCATTACAAAATTATTTATTAACAATTCAATAAAAATTCAATATTAATTTATTAATAATTTATCAAAAATTTGTTAACTATTCATTAAAAATTTGACAACTATTCATCAAAATTATTCATAAAAAATTCATTAACTATTTATTAAAAAATCAACAACTATTCATTAAATTATTTATTAAAGGTTCATTAACTATTCATTAAAAAATTTGACAATTATTCATCAACAATAAAATAAAAAAATTGAGAAAC